CAACAACGCACGGCATTGTGTGTGCCCACGTCGGGGGGCGGGGGGGGGATGGGCTTTGCCGATCTTTCAACAGGGCATTTACGCTCCTCGGCTTAGGTCATTGATACTCTGGCTAACCCTGAGCTGTCTGCATTTGGCAGGTATTTGTACATTTAAAAGCCAAGACACGTGGCTCGTCACGGCACCTCTAACAACGCCAGAACTGCAATACTTTACCCGTGGAAAGAGGTAAAGTAGGCAGCACTGCAAGGGTCCCGTCCTCCTGCACGCAATGCCACGAGCGTGAACAAAGGTCAGGCCAAAATACGTACGTCTGGCATCCTAAAACTGTTTATAGAAAGAGACGAGACAACACGCGCTACGCAGAGTAAGAACAATGCTTTTCTACTAAACTATTGAGAAGGTCTATTTCAGAATACCACTCTAAATATAGCCAGTTACAGTCCGATGTGCAATTATTATAACATCGAATTTAAATATCTGGTTAAATTATCTTTTCTGCGATAGCAGCATCCTGTATTTGGATATTTACGGTACATTCAGTTTTCTGATAATATATTCAAAGGTGACATTTAAATTGTAATTACCTAATAATTTTTTAATATTAGTTTATGATAAAAGGTACTGTAAAGGTAAAGATATCAGTTTTATCACACAATTAAGTTTCAAAAAGGTTGTTTGAATATTTTTAAATACAAAAAACTATGTCAAAAAGCCAATCCTGCTTGCCATATCTATGTCAATTTTGAGTCTCATTTAATAAAATGTGACCAAATAAACTACTGACTTTTCACCCTCCCAATTTTTTAAAAGGCGTTTGCATTCTATGCAAAACTTCCTTCAAAATAAATATAAGAATTTCTTATGTTTATAGGCCAAGTGCATCTTTGACAGATTTGCAGACTATTTTAATCTACACTTCATGTATTACTCTACAGGCAGAGGTGAAAAAAGCCCTCACAATTAAAAGAAATTACTTTTTAAAAGCTGTTCTCTATCATTTATTAAAGGCATTTCAACCGGATTTTTGAAGGAACTTTTGGAATCTGATTCGGCAGACCTATATATTTGTATATATTTATATATATCTATATATAACATATACATGTATATTTTATATATAAAAATGAAAAACTTTTAGCCAGTATTTGTCACCACTACACTGCAGTAGTCAGACTTCAAATACTGCAGTTAGTAAACACACGCATAAGCCCCAGTTCCACAGAATTAACCACAGTCATAAAATTAGGCAACTATGTAAAGACTGAAGCTCAGCGTTCCACCTGGAAACAGATACAAGAGAATGGGAGTGAACTTACTCATGACAGATGCTATAGTTTTATTGCTTAATGTCCTCTCGAGACTCACTTAGTGACTACTGTAGTCGGTGTGGTGTAAGAACTTAAATAGAAAAGAATGTGAGGGCAGAGTTCATTAGGTAGTCTTGTTTTATTTTAAAACATTACTGTACGTTGCCTAATACTAACAGAAAGAGCTTTAATCTGTGTGCATTTTTTCTTTTCTAATATCAAAAGCAAATTGCTTGGATTGAAACAATCCCCTGCAAATCATTTGCTGTAGCAATTTGGCAGAGCAGGGCAGCCAGTGACTAGTAACAGGGAGGAAACTGATCTATTTCCATTGTCTTAGGTGAACACATGCCATAAATAGAGAAAAGGAAAGGGGGAGGAAACTGGGGATAAATATTCCCAGTTATATAGTCAAAACTGTCATTACTAAATAAATGTTTTAAGTAAATGGGAACAATGAGACAATAAAGCAGGGGTTGGGGGTTGGACAATATTTTTAGTAGGATATTAAAACATTTTAAATGAAAGAGAATATCTATTTTATTGGTATAAATCTAACAATTACTTTCAGGCTATTACTTTTAGGCTATGTACCATTGCACAGTAAATGACAAAACATGCCAGACAAATCATTCTCCACAAATCCCATCTCAAAATTTACTTCTTCATCTATAAAATCAGGTAGGCATAACTCATATTTGTTTTTGTTTAAAGCTTTTTTTTTTTCTTCCTTAAAATCATACAATGTGTATTTTAAAAAAGTTTGGATATATATCACCCTTTGACTGCGTGATTCATGTCTTTGTCTCCTTACTTTTGATTCTGAATCTGCTAGAGCAAACTTCTGTATTTGTGGAGTGAGTCCTATTAAATTCAGCAGCACTCAGCATAGATTCATGGGTCACAATTATGGCTACGGTCATGGTACCTTTTATTATAAACTCTTCTGGGCAGGAACTGCCTTTTATGTGTAACAAAATGATGGGTATATTTTGGATTTCACTGCAAAGCAAATGATTTGACCTTCATTGGCTTTATTTATTGCAAGTTTGGAAAGCCAAGCACTTGTGTGAATCTGTACAAAATCTGGAAATAATACTCTGAGAATCACAGAGTGTAATACCAAATGTTTTAAATTTCTTTCCCTTTCCCTCCCCAAAGTACCAGACGCAGTTATCTTCCAAAACATTTAAGACCTGTTAGTACGCAATAATTGCTTTCCTGCATACCCCTAAATTTTCTGCAAGCTAAAGGTAAGGGTGGGATAGTTTTCAGACTGTTTTCGCTTTGTTTTCAACCAATTTCCTACTAACAATGTTTGAGTCATGCAGATAAATGGCACTGTTGATCCTGAAAGCAAAAACTAAACCAACTTTTATTATAACTTCCCAGGTTTCACAATGATAGTTTTGAAAACTCTTAAGCAGCCATTAATCCTTCATTGAACAATAAACTTTGACTTGGATCATTAAAGCAGCTGCTTTGCTGTCAAGATAAGCATTGCCTGAGGCTGCAAAGACAAATGCGTTCAGGTGGCCATCCGTTTTAACAAAATGATCTTTGGTTTTACTAGAAGACGGTTTTTATTAATACATTAGCTCCAGTCCTAAGAGACTTAAGCATCTCGAAGAAAGACCGAATTTTCACGTGCCTGGCTCTCAGGGCAGAAAAAGCAACCCTATACAAGGTACTTCAGGTACCTGTATTATGAGTGGAAAGTGTTATCCACACGAGTAATGAAGCCCACAACAGCCAGGCTGGTCTGCTGTGAGGCATCTAGGGCTGGCAGATGGGAATTGCTGGAAACAGGAGAGACTCTCCCATCACTTATGTCTCCATCCCCTCAATACTCAGCAAACTGAACCTAAGAAAGGTAGGCATCTGTGCACTTTCTGAAAAAAAAAAAAAAAAAGGAGCAAAAAGACAGGTTGTGAGAATGCCCCCACATCCTTTTATACCACATTTCAGCTGTTGGCTGATTACAACTGTTGCCTAGAAAACAAAGGAGCTAACTTAAGTTCCTACCTCTGCTTGATGGAATACATGTTCCAGTGTGCACCAGGCACCAGACTGACCGCGATTCTGGATTATTCCTGCCAAGTCTGTCATTGTGCAGAAAAGACTTGGCTTCATCTACTGAGCCACTGAAAGGACAAAGGAGAGAGAAAGCAGAAGGAACTTCACCCTGGAGTTCAGGGCACTCAGCTGCAGGAAACAGACTGGTGTTCTGGCCTCTGTTTAGAGGATCTCCAAATCTTATCTAATCTAGCTTAGGACTTAAATTCTTACCTACTGACTGCTTCATGTAAAGCATGCTACAGAAAGTAAGGCTACTATGCTGTTCTTAGTATTAGCTGTAGTTGCATTCCCGTTATCATTCCTGTTTATGCTGGCATATGTTCTAAGAAGACTTAGTGCACTGAGTTTTTCAGGAAAGTTAGGTAGAGGTTTAGCAAACCTCAATCCTGATGGGGCTTTATTGTGAACTAGCTAGGCCCCAAGTGGCTCAGTTTGATAAGAGTTTTATTAGATCTAGTCACATATAGTTGTACAAATCCAGTCTCCCGAGGAATTTTGGAGATAATTTTCAAGTTGTCTGTGGAGTATGAGCGCCTCCAGTGTCAAGCGGTGTTTCAAGATTGCAATGCTAGACTTACATACCTGATTTCTATCTATATCCAGGTCCAGTCTACATTTCATTCATAGAAACTTTTGCTAGTTGACTTATTATTCCATCAGCCATTTCTAATAAATAGTGAGATATGGACTATTCAGAACTGGAAGGCCTGGGTACCTTTTAAAATCAATGTATATTCACTGGTATATAATTCATATTTTCTACAATAAATACATACTACATGAAAATGTGAACTCTACGATGAACTACAGTGCAAACATAATAACTGTACTTACCAAGTGATTTTTATCAAATCTGGGTTTAAATATGTGTCCTCTGTAATATCTATAAATGTCTTTGAGCAACCTCTGACAAGACCTTATTTTGTCACTGACTTTTTCTGTTAATATATTTGGTCTGGTGTTTCTGTTCTTCACAGCCCATTACATGGGCTGCAATCACTGACAACAGTAACCTAGATCTGTTAAGACTTATTTATGTAGAGGAAAAGAGTTTTACTGTTAAAGAGGGAGAGGGTGGCAGAGGGTGAGCCTCAATCAAATGAAGACAAGAATAAAAATCTATACAGATACCTGCCACACACTTTAAAGAAGGGCCCTCAAGCTAGCTCTAGAATTTTTTTTTTTTTTTTTTTTTGGAATCTTGGTTACAGTAAGTCAGAGAAAACAAGAACTTTAAGTCATTTTCCTGAAGCAGTTTCAAGCCAAGGATAATACAGAAGACCTAAGATGATGCTGTATGATCAGCATCAAGATGGGACCTCACCACGAGTCAGACAGGACAGAGGGAGCATTTCCACTTGTACTTTTGATGCAGCCATGCAGATAATCAGAATGGTCTTCTAACTCTGCAATTTGATACAGGAAGAGCGAGAAAGGGTATCCTTATTAAAGTATACGCTCCTATGCTTACATACAATGACACCAAGTAAAATCATTCATTTCTGAGTGCTGTCAGAGAAGTTACAGAAAAAACCCTTGGGGACTTGGGATGGAACATTTGTAAAGGGAACAAATGCTCCACAAAAATCTGGGAATCCCCTTTCCTAGAGACAGGTATAGACCAGCTTCCTGCAGGGTGTTCAGTTCCTCCAGCTTCCATTAAAAGCAACCACCCTGCCGCTGTTCTTAGTTCAGTGGGAGCAAGTCGGGGCCTAGTGGGAAGGGGAATCACACACCATCTTCTAGAGGTAGGTCTTGCATTGCTAAAATTGTATTGCTTTGCATTGTTGATAGGCAGCCTCCTATAATCTACGGAGTACATTTTATAATCAGCTTTGCTGCTTCCAGTGAACTTAAATCAGCCTTATCCCCGCTCTGCATGGGGATAGGAATAGGACGTTTAAAGATAAAAGCAGATGACTTCTTTCCCTGCCCCTCTTACGTCATGCCTGCAGGAAGGCTACTGTGTTATTTAATACTGCACTTGGAACCAAATCTGGCTTTACTTGTAGTAGGTGTTATGTCACTAAAATGGAGTGCTACCTTCTTGTTTTGTTCAACACAAAGTGATTCAAGGAGCCCTGGAGCTCTTTACTATATACCTGAAATGCAACACTGCAGCCGCTTGTCATAAACATACAAGGGGTGTTGACACACAGGTTACTGTGTATCACGTTCTGAATTCCAGTACAGGAAAAATAACCAAGGCCTTTTCGTTAGCTAAATCACAGGAACAAGACTGAAAACAAGAACAGTTTGTTTACTCTATTCAACAGTTCGGCTAAGAGTTGAAACATAACAGTAGTAAACTGCCTTGCTGCTTAAAACTGTCTGATGACTGAAACACACACCCTCTGACTTTGAGAAGAGAGATACAGACTGGGCTTTTAAACATTTTTGCTATAGAACTATGGGTTGCCACAAATGAAAAAGAGCAAACAAAACTGGAATGCAGGATGTAGGCAGAAACATTTACACATATTTGAACGGTACTACAGTTTAGCAAAGAACAAAAAGAATGCAGCTACCTGCAGGTGGGATGTTGATGGTCAACGTCATCTGAGTTTTTACTACTCCGATTAGTCATTGCTTTATGCAATTTTCTTCATTTGAAGCTGAAGTTAATATTTTGGCAGTTCAGATTATTGTTTACATAGCTGCAGTCACCGTATCTGATACTACAGTCACTTGCATTTCACACTCCATTTCTCAGACCCAGTTTAAAAACAAAAATAAACAAATATAAAAATCCCAGATTTTCCAGATTTCTCCTTTTTGGAATTAGGCAAAATCTCAACTAATCGATGCAGTAAAACTCTATTGGTACAACTTGTCTGAATCTAAAATAACTGTTAAAATTTTTAAATGATGTGTTAAACTGATAATTCAGGGAAGTACAGTAAAACCTAATAGCACCGAAAAGTACAGGAAACCAGTTGGGATTAGAACCCAGTTCTCTCATTGCACCTCATTCTTTCTCAGCCATACTTAGTTTCACCCTTGTCTATTACTGCCACCCCTTGCTTTCATCTATTCACATATAAAGTGACATCTGGCAAAAAGATTTTGCAGTGACTTACTGTTGTCCCTCTATATTTGTAATTACCACTGGGATGCAGGAATAAGACTTTGCAGATGGAAAAAATAAAGGCACGACTGAAAGCAGAATTTGAAGCCCTGGAGTCTGAGGAGAGGCACCTGAAAGAATACAAACAGGAAATGGACCTGCTGCTGCAAGAGAAGATGGCCCATGTGGAGGAGCTGCGGCTGATCCACGCTGATATTAATGTGGTATGCAACAGTCCAGCTGTGGACAGTCTGACTAAAATACAATTGTATATGAATCATTCCACAGGTTGTGGAATTGTGCACATCACTTAATTATCAGTGGTTCAATAGTCTGGACTTTACAACACCATCCTAGGATCCTGCAAAGAGAGCCAAGTAAATTTACCTGAGGATCATTGTTTTTTTCCTATCTGTTGTGCAGAACATTTTGTGATGTTGGCATAGGAAGGATTTGCAAGAAGGGGATAGATAACCAAGCCCATTGTTGCTACAACTTTACCGTTAGCTATAGTAAGTTAATGCTGGCTGTTAGTCTTTTTGCATTTAACACCTGGAAGCAGAGAAACTTTGGCAGCTTTAGGTTGGAACTTTCTGGAAGAAAAGGGATTTGGGGAAAATACATTATGTTTGTAAAGTTCTTAGCAAGAGTCAACCATGATCACGGAGTGGAACCACAAACCATTACCACAGCACAGTGAGAAGCACCAGACTGAAAGGAACTAATACAAATAAGAGAAACATGGTTTAAAAACAAGGAAGATAAACTAATCAGAGGGGCTAAATGGGGAACGTATTTTAAAACCTACGATTTTTACTTCATGTTAGGGCACTTACATGTCTGTACAGTGGCTTCTAGCTCAGAAGGTATCTGTGCTTTGCACCAGAGGAAAAAAGCTCCCACATCATAAGCAGGTATAAGCTATGTACTGGATGTGCAGACTGCATTTATTTATTACCTGAATTTTCTGTCCCCCTGCCAACCAACTGCATAACCTCTGTCTCAGTCTCTGTTTCATCCTCCCCTCTTTTTCCTATCATATTATCTTTCTCTCTGCTGCTTTTCCCATTTACTGTGCTAAGGGAAGCAGGAACCTTTTACTAGCTTGTTAGTTAACTTCTAACTCACAGTGTGTTTTGAAACGCAGAACATGAGTTTATTCTAGTCTAGCATATATTTACCTTCCATTTTTAATGCCCCTTGAGAGTTTTCCATAGCTCCTCCCTCGCTGCCCCAGGTACAGTCTGTCTGCCTACTCTTTCTATTGTTCAGAAGAAGGTACAGGTTGAACGTACCTTTTTTATGAAAATGTCTCCTGTATATCACTTGAAGTTGCTTATTTCTTTGCCCAGTTCTCACCCTCCCAGTATATTACTCCCTGTTCGACTACTGCATTGTCTCCAAGCTCTTCCAATTTGAATGAGAAAATCTCTTCTTTCTGATGCACAGCCTTCTGCTGAATTAGAGAGCTATTAAAGGAACGGTCCTTTAAAACCATGTCCACCCTCCTGTTTCAGATGGAGAACACTATCAAGCAGTCTGAGAATGATCTCAACAAGCTACTGGAATCTACTCGTCGCCTGCACGAGGAGTACAAACCCCTGAAGGAGCATGTAGATGCTTTACGGATGACTCTGGGCTTGCAGAGGCTGCCAGATCTTTGTGAGGAGGAAGAGAAACTGTCCCTTGAGTAAGTCTCCAAAGCAAACCTTATCTGGCCTTACACCTTCTCATGATTCTACTGGTTGTTTTGTCATTTTACTTCTGTTGGCAGGTGGAAGAAAGAAGAGGTAAGCATGAAAAGCAAAAGTTAACAAAAAGGGGATGTGGGAGCACATGTATTTGTGAACACTCAGCTTGAATTTGTTGTAAGTTAAATTTAGATTATTCTAAGCTGCAAACTCCAAATCTAACATGCAAACATCCAAGGGTGTTTGGTTCTGTAGCTTTTTTGTATCTTATGCTGCCTTTTCTAAAAGTATTTTTTTTCCTGAAAATAATCATTTGATTTGCTTGTTTAGCAAGCATAGATATGAGGCAATACAAGAAAGGGATACAAAATAATTACTCTTCTGTTGGTTTGTGCTACTCTTAGAATTTTTCTTTGTGCTACATATATGCGGTAGTACCACTTAGCACTGTTTAGCCATATACCTCTGACTGACAGCAAGTGACAAGTTACCCTGGATATTTAATACATTTGGATAATGCCCTAAGTTTTATTTTTAGGGCATAACCTAGGTAGGGTAGGATAGCAGAATTAGCTATTAGTCAAAGAATAGTGTCCTTGGTTTAAGAGATCTGTTTTAAATGCAAGTGATGGTTTTAGAAACCTACATTTCTCTTTATGTCCAATACATTTGCCATCATTTTAACTAATATACAATTTTAAAGCTTGCTTTTGCATTTCTTATGGAATTCTGTTTTCCATACAAAGCAGCTTGGCACTACATGGAATGTATTAATCCACTTCATTAAAAAGTTAATAATTTTTAATAAAATAAAACGTAAAAATTAAGAGTTTTACTGAAAGCTGTTAAAGAATACATGAATATATGGTGTATTTTCTAGGCTACCAGATTTATATTTAGCTGTAAATGTACATGCCTTAGAAGCCAACAAGCATTGACATTCTTCTGGAATCCAGCTGAAGTGTACAAATGCAGAGGAAAATATCAGCAATTTTATTTAAGAATTAGTCCAAGAGTCTAAGTGTAGGTCATTTGACTCTAGTGGGGAAGGAACATGATAGGGAAATATGATCCATTCGTTTTTAACACAAAATATCTCTCACAAGCTAACAGAATAGTCCAAAAAGCGGTTATATTTTTGGTTTGTTTTTGTCTAGTTACTTTGAAAAGCAGAAAGCGGAATGGCAGACAGAACCACAGGAGCCTCCCATCCCAGAGTCTCTGGCTGCAGCTGCAGCTGCTGCCCAACAGCTGCAAGTGGCTAGGAAACAAGATACCAGACAGACAGCAACTTTTAGACAACAGCCACCTCCAATGAAGGTCAGGAGATGGAATGTGCTGGCTTTTCTCTTATGTCATCGGAATATACTATGCTTATAAAGTTTAGTATATACAAAAAGAAAAAGTGATGGGTACTGATTCTGATTTTCCTGTAGTGGTTCAAATCAATAGCAACCCCAGTAAATTTAAACTAGTAGCCCCAGTCATCAAGGGTTGAGCATAAGGCTTTGACTCCCTTATGACTTATGAATCTCCATCAGCAGAGATGCCGCCAGTTTTTGGCCCTCTTGTGTTTCACATGGAAGAAAGGCACATAAGGAAGAAAACACTGGACTAAAACGAAAAAGAAAAAGCAGCAGCTGGGAGTTGATCCCAAATGGATTTATAATAGAAGCAATGCATATATTTTATGAGGAGGAGTGACTATTGGTGTTAGAGATTACCAGGAAAGGTGATAGGCTCTGCACTTCTTGGTATCTTCAAATCAAAGCTAATATGAGGATTTTTACCTAACTGTAAGTGCACTTAAGTGAGGCGTACTACTTTAAACAGCTATACTCAGCTCCTTCTGTAGTTAGTAGAAAGAGCTAAATAATTGCAGAGGGAGATTCATCACACCCAAGTTCCAAAGATTCACTGACTGGAGAGGCAAACTGAGGTAAGTGTACTCCTTACTTAGGTGCTTAGTATCTAGAGGTAGGTGAGATGAAAAGCCTTTCTGAAAGCAACATATTTCAGTCAAATGGAAGTCAAAGGGCTTAGTGTGAAGAAAAGGATGGAGTTCTGTATCTTATGTTCAGTATGTGGGATTCATCTAATCACCCTTCCTGCCTTAAATTCTGTGAAATCTCCTTGCTATAACTTCATGCCTTCACTATAACTTCTCTATCTAGTGAAAAGTATTCCCCATGTAAACATCTTCAAAACATGTGAAAAATTAACAAAATGGAATTTAATATCAAAGTTACTGATACAGGCCTGAACCATCTGTTTGCTGAATGTAATTTTAATTCAGTGAAATATTCTGTTTTTTCAGTTGGCCTGAAGCTACTGTGCAATCCAGAGACTTAGATATAAAATTTAGCACCACTTTGTCTTTGAAGGAAAGAGGCCTTGGTTATTTTTGCTGTACTGGAAACTAGAATATGATATTCAATAACCCATGTGTCAACAGCACTTAAAAGCTTATAACAAGAGGTTGCAATGTTGCATTTCAGGCATGTTTATCGTGTCACCAGCAAATTCATCGGAATGCACCCATATGTCCACTCTGCAAAGCAAAGAGTCGATCTCGGAATCCCAAAAAGCCCAAGAGGAAACAGGATGAATGAAGAAGAACAGAAGATTGAGAACCACACATGTGACCAGTCCCAGTACCCTTCCAGTAGAACTGTAAATGTAGCCAGACTTTATTAAGTGCAGACGCAAGTACAACCTACCCATTGTTTTCTATTTAATGTTATGTAAGCACAATGTTTCTGTTCTATCTTAAATTTCCTTCCAGTCCTTGAGATTTGGTTTTAGGAAAAGAAATATTAATGGTGCTACAGTTCAACATTTCAAACATTCCATCTTTCGGAGTCCTAAAGAAAAAAGAATTCTACTATAAGTATCCTAAATGCCAGACTATTCCTATAGGCCAAATGTAATGACTATAAATTCTTTTATGACCTCTTTTTTAAAACAGATGTTACTGAAAGATTATTCTAATTTTCTCCTAATAACAGGAGACTACTTGAACTGCAGAAAACAGCAGACTGTCTGCCTGTTTCACTAAAGAACAACTTATTTACCTGGCTAGTAATACTACACAGGCTTGAGTATCAAGTAGAACTGTTTTTATAATGGACATGTTTATGAAAAAAAAGATTTAGATATACAGGAAATCAGTGCATTAAGGACACAAGTGATTTTTGATTTACTGGAGTTTGATCGTACTATTCCTTCAAATTTGGCTTAAAATTTGGAAGGTGTATCAAGTTGTAGGATGTGAATGAATTACTAAAAATGTCATAAATTATGATGCGTTACCATCTTAACGTTGTATTATTTTCAGCAGTCAGAAGACTAACTGACTTAAGCGTAAGGCTCAAATGAACTGCATTAGTGGTCTTCCTAGGATCTATGGCCAACAAGCTCACTATGGTTCTCCAGGGATCACACATCAAATAACCCATACCTCTTTGCCTCTGTAGCTGCAACATCAGCCATTCTTCATGTCTTCTCTTCCTGGTTTCTACCACCAAAATCTCCCTGGGCAGACCTATCCTCCAGTGGATCACAGGGAACTTCAATAGCATGCACCAGGAGCAATGTTAACTGAAAATGATACGTTTCATCAGAATAACCTTTTTTTGTCCTCGTCCCCCCATTCTCCTCCCACCCCCACCCCCCCTCCTCGCCCCGGGCAGGAAAACTTACTCGTTGTTTGTCTTTTTGTAAGTCATTTTCAAGCTAGTTTTATTTCAGCCCAAGCTAGTTTCTTGCTCTGCACACGGGCCAGAAGTACCCTGATTAGAGAATCCTTCAGACTACTCACTGTATCTATGTCCTCCCTTTGCTTCCTCTTATGCAACAACAGCTCCTCCAAAGGGGAAGATGGTGGTGACCCAACTACAGAACTGGGGCTTAAAACTTACTGGTTTCCAATTCCAGTTATTGTCTGAACTGATGCTAAGTCTTAAATATTCTTTCCACTAACTTTAGGAGGCAGGGACTGCCTTGTCTAGACTTTTCCTCTCTTTTTAGCCTAATTCTTTCCTATTATGCTAGAGTGGTCCTATCAAGAATCTTGCTTGTTAAAAAGAAGAACAGGGAAGCCCCAAATCTCTGATCAGAAGACTTTATCAAATACTGGTGACCATACAAATCCACATAAAAATATTTCGTTGGCCAAATCACATATATCACAATGAATTTCCCAGCTCTGCCATAAAGTTCATGAGTATTTTATTGAAGATAGTCCTATAATTTACAGCCAATTCTGTTGGTACTGTTCCATTTTAATGTTTCACAGCCAATCAAACATCTCTCAACAGCACAGACAGAACACGGACCATGCGCCCCTGAAAATATGTACAGAGCAGTTTCTGTTAGCTGCATTACTGGGATTCAGTCTCTGTGTTACAGAGAGGATAGCCTGAGACCACATGCTCTCTTCACCAGATGGCAGCAGTACTCTAACTCTGAATCCTTATGCGCATTTCCTAACGCAACTATTGGGTTCTACCTTTGAATATCAGAGTGGCCATACGATGTCTGTCCTGCTCAGAGCATTTCTTACTGGGCTTAGGGAAAATGTGCACAGTTAAGATGACAGCATATAGGTTCCTCCTAATTGCAAGCATGAGAACAGAATACTTCTGATAATGGAGGTGAGTATTTTATTGCAGTGGGTGAATGCTCTGCAATGAAGCAGTGCGTAGAGAATGATAGATTTGTAGAAACTTGGATTTATAGTCTTGAAGGTCCTGAAATAGATGGGGCTAGTCCTAGCTGCTCTCATGTTGCTGCTACTTTCCCAGGTTGCTTATTTCTTGACGATCTCTAGACATCTAAACTGCAGCATGCCTGAGGATGGACCAGTCCGTCCATTTTGTATTTTTACTTTTTAAAAATAGTTTCTTGTGCCCTTGTGTTTAACAAGGTTTTGCCTTTTAAAAAAAGAAATTAACAGCACGTGTTTGTATCAATCACTGACTAGTATTTACATATCTGTTTTCATATCCTTCATGGAGTTGTGCCATATGAATTGTGTGTGTTGCTGAGAAACGGTCAAGCTATTTCAAGGAGACAAAGTCTGTATTATATTTAAAGGATCCTGGGTGGGGGAGGTATCTTTTTGAGAGAAGTGGTATTTCTCTTTTCTCTCACAGATTAATTAAGGAAGTTTACATGAATAGTTTTTCCACATGACAGCCCTCAGCCCTTTTCTCCCAGTCATCTTTCTCAAGAGACTACAGAGATAATTATGAAATATTGATTTTTTTGTTCTTTTAGGCATATGAGGAAGCTGTCTGAAGTACAGCTCTTATCACAAAACTTCTGCATTTTTGATCCATGGAGAACCAACGGTCTTTCCCTTTGCACCTAAGGTTCTTTGAGGCTATTTATTTCTTCACTAAGTTCAGTTTAACAGTCTTACTTGGGTTAAATTCTCTTAATAGTCACACAGAGACCCTTCTCATGTACCCTGAGAGGCTGTTCAAGCTCGAATAGCTTACAAGACTTTATATTACTAAAGTCTGGTGTAACTCTGGCTTTGTCATCCCCTTTGCAATCAGTACTCACGCAACAACAAAATCACTGGATCCTTTTGTTTTGGCTCCTCACTTGCCTAAAAGGACAGTCCTGTTTTTCCTGCAACTGAATGGCAAAGAATACACAAGCATC